GAGTGATTGCATGTGTGGGGGATGGGGGTGGGGGAGGGTTATCCAATTTACTTTTACCTGCTACGTTATGTTCTACAAAGGATTGTGCTGTGTAAAGTAACGCAGTTGATACTAATTTCTCTGACTTTATCTCATTCTCAGATGTGCAATCCTTGCATCTTCAAACCGGACTACATCGGTTTCCAGGAGACCTTTTCCGACGACGCGTTTCACATACTCCAAGCTGTCGGACTGGATCATGTGGCCCCCAAAATCAACCAAAGCGTGTACCAGGAACACGAAATACGCTCCCTCACAGAATACGCTTACAGCATACCCGACTACTGGTTTGACAGACAGACAAACATTTGTCAAAACAAGTCCACCGAAATGGCCATGAATTTGTGGCGCGTGTTTCAATTCAACGGCCATATCCGATCAGATCTTCCGTTCCCGAGGGACTTGGAAGAATATACACCCGCTTCCGTCACAAAAATGATTCTAGATGTCATCCAGAAGTTTCCGATAAGTAAAAAAGAAGCGAAGGAGCAGAAGTTGAAGTATATGACGACAGCTTACAAAGAGGTCCCCGCCGACGTCATAGAGGGGGTGCAGAAAAAGTATAAATATGATTTTCTCATGTTTGGATATGACGCAAATGTCGATGCTTTGAAGTAACATTAATGAACAACTCATTCACGGCAACAGGAACCATAGAGTGCGGCAGTCAGTGCCAGGTCGCCACAATAGACCAGAGGAATCAGCAGCAGCAGCGACTGAAATTGTCTTCTTTTTTTTCAGGGAACGTGACATGGAGATATCTAAATTGCTTACTTGTATTTTGCATTCTACTTATTTTGGTATCAATATGTTCTCTGTTTAATGTTTTCTATACCATGCACTTTCCCTTCCATGTGTGTTAGCTGTCGTAGCAAAGCTTATCAAATCGTGGAAAGTTTAATCTGAAAACATACATCCAGCCTTATTTATTTTCACACATTTCTGTTGACACATTTAGAGGGTTTAAACAACAAAAACTGTTGTGACTTCTACGAAAAGGTCAAATAAAAAGTTTAACAAATTATGAAGCAAAGCTGGGCTTTGCACATGCTGCATTTTCGAATTTGCTACACATACAGAGCTATCTTTCATGACAGTTTTTGTTTCGTTTCTTACAGCATCTATCGATGGTGCATATTACTTAGATAAACTTTCATCAGAAGTTGTAGTGAGTGACTGTAATCCACTTATGACTAAGACGAAGCGATTGAGTATGTGGTCTACTTACGACAAAAGACGCAAATTGTGACACGTATATATACTGATTACTAAAGTAAAAGACACAGCGTATGGTGAAATAAAGGCATTGCTTGTGAGCTTCTTTTGGATTGGAACCCACAGGGTAAGAGATAAAGGGGAAGACCGCGTGAAAACTGGAGAAGAATCACAAAAATCGATGTACAGAAAAGTGGGAAGACATGGAATAACATCAAGAGGCTAGCCCAGGATAGAGAAAGGTGGAAGGTGTTTGTCCGTGGCCTATACCCAGGTGCAGGGTGAGAAAGGCAATGATGATGATGATGATTGTGAGCTTCTTATGCCGTAGGACGATGCCTGTTAGTATGCCTCGGATCTGTAGCTGGGCATCACATGTATAGGAACTGTAAGGGACTTCATGTTAGAAAGAACAGTTCCAGGATGAGTCAAAGAATCCTTTCCAAGTAACATTAAAAAGTTCTTATCATAATCAGTGGCCAACCCTAAACACAAATTTAGGCTATCACTCACTTAGTTGAAGCTCTAGTTTTTGTATGAGAACCATTATAGGATTATTCATTATCTCTTTATAATATTTCATTTCAAAATGTCTATATTTTAGGTAAGATTTTTTTCAATTAACGGGGGATGGCAAAAAAAAAGGTTTATACCGAAATAAGATCACTGACGAAAGAACGGCTGTCCTTTTTCTTAGGTGACCCATTTTGTGACTGTTTCAGACCGCTTTCCCGTATTGTCAGAAGAGTTACTTTTTTTGTTTCTTTAATTAAACTTGTTATCGTAATTCTCCACGTGTTGCGCCTTCATTGACACAATTTATACTAGTATAAAGCAAGCGGGTTTCTTCAACCCTGTCTGTGAGGGCCAGCCAAGTCTAGGAAGGAGAGAACGACCTAGCAAAATGACCGTGCAATGCGATAAACACAGTACTGAATAAAGTCCAGACTTTCATCAACAGATGTATGAGGAGTATCCTAAGAATTAAGTGGCAGGATAGAATAAGAAATGAAGAGCTATGGGAAAGGACAGGACAAAAGGATATAGAAGTAGAAATAGGACTAAGAAAGTGACGTTGGATGGGACACACCTTAAGAAAGCCCAGCGGAAACATCACAAGTCACAAGACAGTCACTGCAGTGGAACCCACAGGGAGCACGAGGCAGGGGTAGGCCATGGAGGAGATGTGTGGAAAGGGACATGAGAGAGATGAAGCTCACTTGGAACGAGCTAGGAAGGATGGCCCAGGACAGAGATAAATGGAAGGAGCTTGTATGTGACCTATACCCTGCCAGGGGTGAAAGGATGGCCCAGGACAGAGATAAATGGAAGGAGCTTGTATGTGGCCTAGATCTATACCCTGCCAGGGGTGAAAGGCACTGATGAAAATGAATTCGATAAACATTCTCCAGAATAGAAAATCGAACTTTCCTGTGTTCTTTAAATTTTTCTCTGGAATTTCTCTTAGGAGGCTTTTTACCTTCTGAATGACTTCTTCTTGGTCCAAATGCACCCTATGTATTTTGTTTTGCACTTGCCCTTGAACGCCAAATTTTGTGACGTGGATCATTAAATGTCATATTATTATTGTGTTTTGGTTGGAAGTTTTCTTTCGTTTCGTTGTTGTTTTGTTTTTGTTTTCTAAGTAGGTGCTTTCACGCTCAGAACGTCATATGACCTGATGCAGTTGCGAGTGCCGTAAAACTCCTACAAAAACAAACTAAACACCAGAAGGTCACAACATCTATCATCTAGGAGGCGGGCTTTCAATTGTTCCTGTCTGGAGCACGACATGCTACTTATACGACAGAGGGATTGAGCAACTACGATTTAAGAAAAAAATACTTGGGTTGTTGTTTTTTTATCGTTTAAAGTTTTGGGCTTAGTACGAGACATCTGAACA